TTGTATCAAACACACACAGGTTTGTTTTTATATCCTTATGAGGACAATGCATTCACGTTTTCTGGAAAATGGTTCCAACAATGTAGCAAAAACGTGCAATATGGCAAAAAATTTCATATCACGCTATACATTATGAGGTTAGGTGGCGGTAACAATATATATCATGATATAAAACTTATACTGTGATGGACTTGCGACCTGTCCAGGGTGTACCCCGCCCCTCACACTGTGACTGCTGGATATGGGCACCAGTGACCCACGTGACCCTGAAAAAAAAGGAAGAAGCGTGTACAGAAAATGGATGGATGGATGGATATAAAACTTGTAATAGAAAATAAATAAATCACATACTAATTGAGTGATTATTATGTGTCACAGCTCAGCTGATAATAAACATTACAAATGTAACAAACATTGCTTATTGATTAGCAAACCACGGTCAGCTGAAGTTACTCTCTTTCTGAAACACAAACWATTTCTCGTATAGGTTAAAAAAATTTAGACCTTAAAATCTCCTTTTTAAGGGAAATGTTAAAGTCTCCCTTAAAAATCTAAATTTAAGGTAGATCTAGCTGGTTAAATAAGATATATACACACACACTCACACACACACAGAGAGAGAAGAAAGAAGAGAAACGAGGTCCATTAGACTCAGCGAGCTTTTGTGCGTCCCACTGGAGCTCGCACTGACTTCACCTGCACCGACAGTCGCCTCGCTGCGTGACAGTGACATCTGCCGCGCTCCTCCCGTTGCAGGCAGTGTGATTGCTCAGTAGCTGAATGGACGATGCGCCATCACATAATTATTAGGGGTGTAAGAAAATATCGATACACTGAAATATCGCGATATTTCATTTCCCGATACTGTATCGATATTCTAAAGCCCTGTATCGATTTTTATTTATTAAGGTTTAAAATGTCAACTTTCTTGCCAACCATTCATTTTTATGTTGTAGTTCAGCCTCTGACCACTAGTTGGCAGCAGTGAGCCATGCTCACTGCTGCCAACTAGTGGTCAGAGGCTGAACTACAACATAAAAATGAACGGCTAGTTGGCAGTGAGCCAACCATTTGGCTCCTCTACCTCTTGAAGTAGAGGCTATTGTTTAGTGTTGAGTGACCATTTTGTAAATTAATATTATAAACTAAAAGCTGCAAAAAATATATTTTCAAACTATTTATTGTCAAATTTAGTCTGATAATTGAAAACTTGGATGAAATAAGAAATATGAAACAAATAAAATAAAACACAAACAAAGCAGAACACAGCTAAATGTATCAAAAGTATGTCTCTGTAATATTAGAATTTTCTGAGACAATGAATTTTGGTTTTTCATTTTTTTTCTCCTGTAAGAGGTTTTTATTTAATAGAATTTTTGGACAAAAAAAATCGCAATATATTGCAACATATCGCCTTGCTTATAGTATCGCAATATATCGGGATATATCGTATCGTGACCCCTCTGTCATGATATGTATCGTATCGCCAAATTCTTGCCAATACACAGCCCTAATAATTATGTGATGTAAACAGTTCGACGTTCATTTTCGCACACCCGTACCAGGTCCAGATAATTTATGTTTTGCAACTTTTTGCTCTTCATTTGCGCTCTCAGCCACGCTGCTTCCCGCTTCCTCTGTTTTGACTCCAGCCGGTTACATCATCAAAAAGAATTACCGCGGTTGGCYGGTAGACTACAGATCTCTATCATAGGACAAATTTAAATAGTTTCTACCGTGTATCGTTTATATTGCACATTCCTAGCCCACGCGCACACTCACAAAAACCAACAGAATTAACTGATTTTTAGCAATTCTGTGATTCCATATTTTTAAACTAACTACAAAGTTATTGTTTCGTGTCATCTTTAATATTCACTATGTGATAAATCTGTTTGTTGATTAATTCTGCGGTCGCTCCCTGATTTCATCAGCTCGTTATCATTTTTGGAGGTTGCTTTTTCACAAGCCGGTTAGCCTGCCTTGGGCCTGGCTCTGATACTACCTCGCTTGAAGGTTCAGAGGGGCATCAGGCGGGCTCACTTTACTCGCCTTTCCGCTTTTTCTGAATGCTGGGAGGAGGACAGAACACGCATCAGTCATGGACTGAGCTGTCTTATAAACGAGGCTACAGGGAAACACTCCTGGGTGTAAATGCAACATTTCATCTCAGCCTCCCTGAGAGTCACAAAACCACACATCAGAAAATTCAAGGTCTCTGACTATTTTTGTCCTCTTCACACACACTCCGCAGAAATGAGCTTCAGTTTCAGTTTTATTTTAGATAAAGGTTTAACAACATGGCTCCAACATTCATAGTAATGAGGATGTATTTGTCCTCCGCCTCACCCTCTCATTATCAAACCGTCAACCCAAATCTGTGACAGGAACTGGAACAAAACAGAGTCAGCTGCTTTGTCTGAATAAATAACCTAATTTTTCAGTCCCACTGGAAGTTTAAGTTGGTGAAATGTTTTAGAAAGGGGACAGTATAATTTAGAGGTTGTCTGCTTCTTGTCAGAACAGATGAGCATTTGCTGCTGCTGTTGTGTTTATGCTCCCAGCAGGGCTCTGTTGGTGAAGAAGTGGAGCAGAGACGAGTAAACATGAAGAGAGACTCAGTTCTCTTTCTGATTCTGAGCAGGAACTAAATTACATTTCCCTGTAGCGCAGTGTCTTTTTCTGCTGGAGTTTCAATTCTAACGGACTGTGAACACATCTGTCTGCAGATTCTTAACTGTACACGTTGCTGCCAATCACAATGTAAATTGAAACTCTTATTCTAGTTCTCAGTAGATTTTAAAATAAATATTCAGAAGAGCTGCACTGTGTGATGGATGGATAGAGATAACTTTTGAAAAACAAGTTAATGACCTGATCAGCCATTTTCTTTTAGAGAATAAACATGTCCTAATTTTACAGACACAGAATATAATCACTATACAAACGATAAACTGATACAGGACAATCCTTGTGTTTTTTTTTTTTACACTAATTATCACCTTTGGTTGACAAACCAGCAATAATGAAACTTAATAAAACAGTCATTGGATACTGTAGAGCTGGGCGATATGACCCAAATATTGTATAAACAATTATACCGGTATTTGACAGTATTTTTCTTTTCATCACAGCAAAGCTGATAATAAACATTACAAATGTAACGAATATTGCTTATTGATTAGCAAACCACAGTCAGCTGAAGTTACTCTCTTTCTGAAACACAGAAACTGTTTCTTGGCTTTTTTTCTTTTACTGTACCTCAATCTGTGTCAGTGTTTCCTCCCTCAACATGTCTTTTCTTCTTTGCCTGGTTGTAGACAGTAGTCACGCATTTTGGTACAGTCGTGAAAGAGGAGGGTTGAGCAAAGATCATCATCATGTTTTGTGTTATTTAAGAAAACTTAACAGGACAACTCAGCCTCCATGCACAAGTCAACACACCCAGTACAAAACCACTTACCCTCGGGCTTTTCACAATAGAAGCACATCAACATCTCCATTTTGGGAGGCTGTGGTAGAGTKGTTAGGGGAGTCGTCCTGTGACCAGAGGGTTGCCGGTTCGGTCCCCAGTTCCAGCTGTCATTCGTGTCCTTGTCGTGTCTTGCATGGCAGCCCCGCCTATTGTCAGTGTGCCCCAGGGCAGCTGTGGCTACAATGTAGCTTACCACCATCAGTGTGTGAATGGCTGTAGTGTAAAGCGCTTTGGGGACCCCATGGGGCTTGATAAAGCACTTTATAAGTTCAGACCATTTACCAACCATACATTCATGTTGCACATGAAATCTACCAGTGCACGTCACTGAAGAGGTGTACGCAACTGTCRTGGAAATATTTATTCGACAAAGACAAACATGTGAATAAAGTATAAAAGTACTCCGTGAAGTGGTCGTCGTGGTTTTTATTATTTGCATATGCAAAGACACAGTGGGTAACTCAAGCAGTGTCAGAACAGAGTATGTTAGCCACAGCATGCGTCACGCAGGGAGAGAGAGAGAGAGAGAGTGTGTGGTCTTCAGCAGCCAGCTAAATACAAAGTAGAGGAAAAATCTAGTTAACCAATCAGAATATGACAAATTGTTCAGAGAAGACTGCCTCTTCCTTGCTGTGGCCTGATAAGGACAACAGCTGACACAAGGCAGACGTATCAAACGTATCAAACCAAAGACAAAGACAAAAAATGTATCAAGAACTATCAAAAAGATACACAAGTACAGTTAACAGATGTGAAGACACTCTGAACTGGTAAAAGATCAGAGGAGACAAAATATTTCTCTAACACGCCACATTAAGAGATGGTGAAAACGGGAGAGCTTTTTTTAACGTCAGTCACTGTAAGAAGTGAAATCGCTACCTGCAGCCAGTTATTGAGAAACTGCTCTAACAATAACATTAGCTTGCTAATGCATATAGCGGTGCTGCGAGAAGAAGTGTCCCCGTGAAACTGTTCACTGGTGGGCACAACGTAATCTTCCCAACATGTTCTGGATATTTAAACCAGTATGTCCGGTATTCAGAGAATTCATATTCGGATTCAAGATGGCTGCCCCCAGCTATCTTCAACAGTCATTTTTATAGATACTGAGCTAAAATTTGGTGTGGTAGTTGAGAGTCATCCCCAACACATACTCTGAGCACTAACAGTYGAAATCACATCACTTGAGATCATGTATAAATGCTATTTCAAAACATAGCTCTGYCATTTCYCAACATAAAAGGTTTTTAGTCTAAAACTCAGATGGTGGTTGATTCCTTCAAGGAATGCTAGGTCTTTAATTTAGCTTTGATTTATTAGGCCAAAAATCACTGCTTTCTTTACTTCTTAACTATAAATCCTCATTTTGTGCAATTTGTTCTTGATTATTCCAAAAATCCTCTTCAGTTCTTTTAACAGGACCAGAATCCGTTTTTTCACATTTACTTCTGTTTTGCTGCAATTTTCCACCTAAATCTTCCAAACTCAATTTTAACTCTACATTTTTATTTGTGCATGCTTTCAGGTGGAGAAGACTAGCCAGCCCAACTTGGTCCTCTTCCTCATCAAGTACCTGATGATGCTGATTGTGGGAATCCCTTCTTTGTTCTGGGTGGGCAGCAAGAAGACTTGCTTCGAGTGGGCCAGTTTCTTCCATGGCAAGAGGCGCAAAGAGTATGTACTTCATTTACTCTGATGGAGTTTGTTAGACTGAAGTATGACATGACACAGCTGATAGTACACTGTCAGGGTAACAAAAATAAACACGTCAAAGTTTACTTGACAGTCTGTACTTATACAGGTCTTTCTATCCAACCAGAATACTCAAAGCACTTAACACTACAACCTGCTGTCCACAGGGAGGAGCAATCTCTCCTCTGTGTTGGCTCCTGGTTGTCGACAGCCTATTAAAGGAGCTGTTCGGATCTAGACTCCATACACAGGAGTGTGCAGATGACTTGGTTAGAAGGCTTCTGCCTGGGTACTGTATGTAACCTAATGCAGAGGGGACTAAACATAGTATCCAGATGGTGCTGCAAGCAGGAACTTTCTGTCAATCCAAATAAGACAGAATTGGTTCTTTTCACTCATAAGAAGTTAAGGAAAGTTTACTCACCTCCACAGTTGGAGGGTGTAGAACTCTCCCTGTCAGAGTCAGTAAAATTCTTCGGTGTCTAGACAGTAGGGGTGTAAGAAAATATCGATACACTGAAATATCGCGATATTTCATTTCCCGATACTGTATCGATATTCTAAAGTCCTGTATCGTTTTTTATTAAGGTTTAAAATGTCAACTTTCCTGCCAGCCGTTCATTTTTATGTTGTAGTTCAGCCTCAGACCACTAGTTGGCAGCAGTGAGCCAGCCATTTGGCTCCTCTACCTCTTGAGCGTCAGAGAGTAAGGGTAGCATTAGCATTGTAAGTAAACATTAGCTTCATGCTCCGAAAGCTGAATCTGAGCAGAAAAGACCGACACCCTCTGCCTTCTAAGCTGAGGTAAGGTTACAAACAGTTATTTTAAGACAAATTAAGTGTCTTGTGTGCTCTTTTTTCCAACTGTAGTCAGCTTTCACGTTATGCATATAGCCATGCGTCTATCACC